CTCACAACTCCGGCGGTTTTGCCAAACCGCCCATGGGCCCCACGTTGTTTGTGCCCATGTGTTGCCCATAGGCATTCCGACAGGGCCGCACATGGGCAATTTGGTGCTGATGGTCGGCCCATTGTTGACCCTTGGACACGCTCACGGACCGCCCATGGAAAATGTCCACTGGCCGTCTATGGTGGGCACTTCGTAGGCAGCTCATGGACCGTTAGTCTAATGAGTGTACTCTTCATCAATATATTTTCCGCTGCGGGAGGGACATAAAAATGTTATGGCACCCTCAGGCTCACCCAAACCTTACCCCAAGCCCTTTATTTCTGTCGACACCTGTTTCAAATCTTTCGTTGACTAAAAGCCTCCCCTCTCTGGGTTAAGCGGGCTTACAACACGGAACCTGGTAAAACCATTGCAATTTGACCGTGGTCAATCTGATGACTGTACGTCCGCAATTCTGAGGACATGCATTAAACGGCGAGTCCTTGCACTTCTGTGACCGTGTCGTGTTTTTTGCCGCGAGATCTATCACGGAGTACTGTAGCACAACAGCTTTATCAGACGATCACATGCACGTTCCCGCTCGAAACCGATGCACTGCAAACGCTGCTGGAAGGTTCAACGTCACAAAATGTGTTAAATCCAGTTCAGCACCACTCCCCGGGCCGCCCCATCTACACCTGCTCGACCGTCTCTTCTTGCTGCTTGTGGTCCCAAGGTCCCTACGTAACGCCCCAGCGTCAACAACTGGTCAAGCGGTCTGTACAACTTTCTCCGGCTCCCGTAGACAGACGATCCTCCACATCACTGCTATGGTGCCGGCGAGGTCGATACTCCGTAAGATGAACTTCGTTCTGGCAAGGGCACGCGCAAGTTTGGGCATGACATTCGTAACGAAATGGCAACCCTGCATCAGACTTGACTCCAAGGCGAAGAAACGATTCGAAACAGGCGGAAACAAAACACGTACAAGGGAATACGTACAGCGATTCCCTCCATACCCTCCTCCACCGTATAAGGTTAAGCATTAGACATGCCTACGACGTTAGCACTTCTCAGGTTAGCCCACGTCACGTTTTCAGCACTTCAGGTTTCAGGTCCTTTCGATTCACTTGGCCGTGCCCAAAGACACAAGGTTTGGCCGGGAGGCGGGGTCCTGCCGATGAGAATGACAGAGGTGACCACCTCCGTACCAACGGATAACCGCGCACTCTACATAGAGACTGCGATGGTCTAGATGCTTCATCGCATTCCTCCCTGGCCAAGACAGCCGCTGTAACAGTAAGTTCGTGACCTGTTGCCCTCACATCATACGGTGAATCGGCTCGTTGTCTTCGGTGTGTGATAATGTACGGCAGGCGAAACGGTTCTGGACTTCCAGAACGATGTCGGCTTCACGGAGGGCTTTAGTGGTCACGGCCTTCATTCTCCTCGCAGGCTTCACGCGTGAAGTTGGAGCTGTTGAACTTGGCGAAATGCCCCAACAGAGTCAGCATCACTACTTGGTGCCCAAGACTGTCGTCAGCACCCAGATGCGTTTGGTGTTCCCGATGGGACTTGAAGGAACTGGGCACCACTTCATTTATAATGTCGACGACCACGTGTACAAGAACAACCCCCACTTGCCTCGGATGAACGACTTACACCTGGAGTCAGCTTTGTATTTCGCGCTCTTCACATTCCGTAGTAACCCTTCCCATTTTCGCGACATGCGAAGACTTGCACGGGAACAAATGAACGAGCTTTCCATTGGGGCCAACAACTTGACGTCACCAGGAATGGTGGAGGTTCAACGCGGTGGGATTTCATATCCATGCGGTAACGGCGCGAGCAAGGTGTTCAGCTACTTCGAAGTGCGAGAATTCGCAGAGGCAGCGGAAGCGGAGAATGTCGACTTGCGTGTTCTGTATCTTCGGCGATCAGCTAAGGATTTGATGATCGCGAACACCGTCCACCGTCACTTCCAAGAGTAAGTGTCTCGTCAACAACCAGCCACTGTATCATGCTAAACATACTTCCAGGATAGTTGACGTCGTGATACATTTCTTTGTTTAAGTATGGAGAAGAAACGTATCTCAATTATTTTCTGACTACACAGCAGTATGGACCAGACACCGGAGAAGGTCACCGTCACTTCCAAGAGTAAGTGTCTCGTCAACAACCAGCCACTGTATCATGCTAAACACACTTCCAGGATAGTTGACGTCGTGATACATTTCTTTTTTAAGTATGGAGAAGAAACGTACCTCAATTATTTTCTGACTACACAGCAGTATGGACCAGACACCGGAGAATGTTCACGTTCAGTCACGCGCAACCGCATGATGAAGGCCGATGCGCTTCGCAAATGATTGGCAGCACGGAAGCATTGACGAGTAGCACGCGTCAGCCGAACTTGTAGACCTACGTACCTTGGTATTGAATATAGCTCGCATGTATCCATACCACGCTGCTCTACGCAATAGCAGCATGCTCAGCAACAGACACACACGTTCAATGACACACAACCGCAAAATAAAGCCGACACACCTCGCAACTGACTGAGAGCATAGAATAGACGCGCAGCACGGGTCGGCCGCACTTGCAGACTTACCGCAAGCCAAGTAAGAACAAGCGCAGCCTTGGACGCACGTGTATGCATATCGACAGCGCCACCACGCTTGATAGAGCAGTACGCGACAGCATCGTTTTCCTTTTCGCGCAATAACTCTCATCATGACACGAGACAAAGGACTCTTCTGCAGTCTGCTGCGTGCCCCTATCCATCACAACGAAAGCAGAGGGAGGTGCGGCCGCTTTCGTGCGCGCCCAGGATACCAATCTGGAAACAAATGCTGTGCTCCCGCCCCAACAGAATTTCCAGTTAAATCACATGTTGGCGAGATTTGGATGTACGGGTTGAAAATTTCACCTTCACTTTTTTGGGAAAAGAACCAATTCATGGCCGCCATAAAAATGAATATTACCCCCCAGGAAGAATTTTTTAGCACGGAGGGCAGTTGGCGTCTTTCATTGCTGATATTTTTCAATTTTTTCATCTTCTGGCTTTAGGCTGCTTTGGTCAGCACCACGCCAGGATGGATGCTGTCGCACACCTCATCCCACCAGCGCATGCCCACGGTCGGTCGTAGAGCTTACTGCCGGCAGTGGGAGGACTCATATTTCGTCGCTGACGACGGATTAGACTAACTTGTCACATTGATGTCGGGCCACAGGTCGCTCATGTTTTTTTCGAACACACACACCCCCGCCCAGCAGCAGAGGCTGGACACCTACTACACAACACGATTTAATGCAGCATAATGCACAGCAAATCCTAGGGCATCNGTGGAGCACACAGCGTCGAAGGTTTCACCCGAATGCAAGCATGTGTAGGAGAAACCAAGTTTTTTCGAGGCTTTGGATCCACGTGAGAGCCAGAATTCCCCATTCTGCAGACTCCTGAGCCAGGATTCTCTATAGGGAGGGACGGTACTATCCAAGCCACGTTGAAATTTCACATTCCGTTATGACGAAACGCCTCTCCTAACAACAACGCACGAGCAAATTGCTCTGTGAATTTCCGCGCGTGATCTTGCTCTTTCGTTTCCCGTTCAACTGTCAATGTGCCATTTCGTGTTGACAGATATCTTGGTGACCGTGACACCACCACACCTGGACAGCGTTTCATGGAGTACGCCAGGATCATTTTCATCCACATAGGTCTGCTGCACTCCTTCCTTGGAGAGCT